CTAGAAACCCTTCTTTCTTAAACCTTCAATTCATTTCTCTTCAAGAATCTGATCATCATCGTTAAGAAAACCCTAAGTTAATTATGTGACAGATTTATATATTGATCTATATATACCGTCTTTCTTTCTTTCCTGAAAAGATATATATATATATAGTCGTCGATCATGAGCTCAAATCCTAGTACTAGCAGTGCAGCTTCTGGTGGCGGACCCGGGCCGGGTGGTGGCGGCGGCGGCGGAGGAAGCGGCGTTGGAGGAGGTGGGCCATGCGGGGCATGCAAGTTCTTGAGAAGGAAGTGCGTGGCGGGGTGCATATTCGCGCCGTACTTTGACTCCGAGCAAGGAGCCGCCCATTTCGCGGCGGTGCACAAGGTGTTCGGCGCCAGCAACGTCTCCAAGCTCCTCCTCCATATTCCGGTCCACAAGCGGCTCGACGCCGTCATCACCATCTGCTACGAAGCTCAGTCCCGCCTCCGCGACCCCGTCTACGGCTGCGTCGCCCATATCTTTGCCCTTCAACAACAGGTACGTCTGTTGAGTCACCGCGATTTATCGCCTTCACTAGTCGTGTCGGGTGGAGTGTGGGACACGGGACAAGGGATTTTGTCATTTTTGGTTAAGAAATCTGGTGCATAGCCCACACAGACAGGTCAGTTAGTTCTTAGTTGGTAGATTCGATCTGGTGCATAGCCTACCGAGACAGGTCAATTAGTTCTTAGGTGGTAGATTGTGAGCTAAAAATTGAGTCTTTTGTGTGCAAGAATAATTTTGGTGCATAACCCTTACAAACAAATCTGTTAATTTTTGGGTGGTAGATTATGGATTGGGGGAAAGAATTTTGGTGCATGTTTGGATAAAAGACTGATTTCTCCCCTATAAATTCCGATAATAGTTGACGACTTAACATCCTGACCTTCACAGCCAAACACTGTCTTATCACCATAGTTGGTAAACCTCATATTCCGTTACAAACTTTGCTTGCTTCCTCTTTTAGTCTCTTCCCTTCTCGACTCTCTCTTTTACAGACACGTCAAAGCCTTTCTTCTTCTTAGTAAAAAAGGTTGAAGAGCAGATTTCATACTACAAGACTAATCAACAATATAATATAATATAATTATATTTTCAATCATATATTCATGTTTTTTGAAGAAATTAATGAAAATATGCCTGCAAAATCCCATAAAATCCTAATCATGTTCTTTCACGGTTGAAAACACTCTACTTTCAATCATCCAAAAGTGATTAAAATTTGAGAAATTTTAAAAAATTTCGACTACCCAACATTGAATCCGGTTTCTGGTCATAGTCAAGATTTTATATATATATATATATATATATATATATATATATATTCACCCTCACATTAAGGTTGCATTGAGTATGCTCTAAGGTTTGAGTTGGCCTATGAAGGCTATGGTCTAATGGTCCTACTTCCTCATTTTTTAATCAAGAAACATAACAAAATTCCCATTTTTATTTATCTCAACAAACATATCCCAAAATATTTTTAAAATATTAGTAAAAATTAGATTATTCTGAGTAAATCAATGACTTTGTGGTCTGGTGGTATGAAATAGTTCTTCGATTCAAATAAAAAAGATTATTTTTTTTTTAAAACGAAAAGTGTTGGAAGCATTTATTAGAGGACCATGATGCGGTGCGTTTGGGGAACAGTTGAACGCTGTGCTGAAATCAAGAATTCTTTTTTTTTTTTTAATGTTTTTTTTTGTTTGGATTATTAACATATTATCATGAGGTTGTCTCTTTTCCTTGACAACACTCAAAAATATTTGCAGTTTTTAAGGGAACCGTCCGTATATTCATACTTTCAGAATTTCAGTTCCTTTCTAGTCGACGTTGTCTTGTTTTCATCTTCAATTGACTTTCGTGTACACTTTATAATTAAATAATTATTAAGTTTTTTACGTTACAAACTCAATTATATATATATATATATATATATATATATATATATATATATATATATCACAATAATAATAAAATATTTCAATGAAAAATTATGAAATACTATACGCACGACCAATAAGGTATTAATAAAAATTGAATTATTAACATTGAGAATTATATTTTATTTACTCGGCGATCCTTTTGGACCGATGTGTTGCTTGGAGAGTTAGGCAATATAGGACTTTTTTTTTTTTGGGTTTTGGGAATTGCTTTCAAGCAACATGCAATGCTCAATTTGGGAATTAATAAATAATAATGAAAATAAATAAATTTTGTTAATCATAGTTATGGTCAAGTTATGGAATTGGCTTGATGTTCCGTTAACGTGCAGTTCAATGTGTTATCCTTAATCCTCATTATACGTGTCATTAATACCATTTTTAACGGTAATCCCTTCAGCGGCGTCAAAGGTTTGTTATCTCGGCGTTAGGTTGCTTTCAGCGGAAGCCAAATCCTCCGTCTATGGAAAATCGTCGCATTCTAAAACTGTTTTCCGTCACCGTCGTCCGAAAGCCACGTTTTGCTTTCAATTATTTGACTAATTACAATTAACGCATCAATCCTTGCTTCTTGTCTGCTTGACTGATTTGGAAGTTTGTTTCAAGGAATTTGATTGCTTTCTTTTATTGGGAGGTGGGATTAATTTAGTTGTGTAGACCAATTATGCCTCCAATAATAGGAGCACATATAGTTCTAAGTCAAAGCGTTTAGGTAATCCCAACTAAATTAGTCGAACAGTTGACTGATCAATTATAAATTTTTATTTTTTATTTTTTTTTTTGTATAAATATCTTATTGTGCTAATGACCTTATGGCCTAGTAGCACGGAATGGCTCTCCCAATACGAAAATTTTACGTTTGTTCCTCAAACCTAAAACATATGACTGAAACCATAATCATGGTGATCACTCAACGTAACACCCACACTTGCCGATCTATTCGAAATTTGCGAAAGAACCCTCAATTGGCCAACCTCTCACGTCCTACCTGACCGGACAGTGCTCCTAAGGAAAGATGACGACAATGTGGAAAATCCTCGAGAAGAGAGGGAGATTCATCCGAGCACACGCTCATCGGTCACTAGAGTCTCATAGACTTGGCCGGTCGAACTTCAATTCCTCCCGCCGTAGTGGCTAATCGAGCACCTCAGGGAAGTTTTGACGCACTCTTTGTATTTCAGTAAGTTGAGAAAGTAGTTATAATAAACGGATACTACATTGTAATAGAGTCACTAGTTGTGTTGTATTTGGTAGAATTGTAAGCCTAATATGTGTAATATAATAGCGGTTATATACACATAACACATTTCTTAATATGCAGGTAGTGAACTTACAAGCAGAGCTGGCGTATTTACAAGCCCACCTAGCGACGCTGGAGGTGCCGAATGCTCCGCCGCCGGTAGCGCAGCAATCGCAGCCACAACCGCCTCTGTTCGTGCCGCCGGCGGTTCTAAACATAGCAGACCTCCCCACCGGCGTGCCGATGATGCCAGCAACCTATGACCTTTCGTCCCTGTTTGACCCCATGGTGCAGCCCGCGTGGGCCATTCAGCCGCGACAGTTGGACCCCCGACAGCTGTTCGGCGGCGGTGCCGCAACAAGGGTGGCCACGGTGGACATGACGTCGTCGTCGTCTTCGGCCGCCGGCAGCGGCGGCGGCGGCGGAGATCTTCAAGAACTGGCGCGCGAACTCATGCACAGGCATGGGTCTCCAACAGTGCCATGCACAAACGCTCCTTCGTCGGCTCTGCCGCCGCACTCCAAATGAGACGACGACCGGCGGCGCGCCGGCGCCGGCGCCGGCGACATTTTTAGATTAATTATAAAATTATATAATTGACTATGGCATGCTTTATAACTTGCCTATATGGAATCACAGCAAGCAACAGGAGGAGGCGAGTGGATCGGAGTTAATTCCCGTTATTGATCCTTTGATTTTACCATATTTGTAATTTTGGTCCTCTTTTCTTCTTAAATCCCGTTACTGATCCTCAAATTTTACCCTATTTATCATATTGGCCCTTCTCTTCTCTTCTTGTACTAGCATTTTGTGATGCCAATTCCATTCATATACTAGTTATATGGAAAATTGTATTCAATTTTTGTTTTTCTTGTCTTCTTTATTATGTGCAAGTAGATATATTATAGTATCATACTTAGTTATACTATAAGTACTAAGCTATATACATTAATGTTTATAATACATGATATAAATAGATATACCATATTTATTTCCAGCTGAGTTAGGTGATTTAGTAATTGCATGGTTCCATGGAACTATTAGTTTTCTCGATTTGAGTCGGTTAGTTATGTGCAATCTGAATTAGTTTATTTCATTGTAATCATTTATCTGTTATGGTCACAATGCAAATTTTACATATCATAATTTAAGTAATAGTTACGAGTTTTTTCGTAAATCAAACATATACCATGGTTATTTATATTCAATACTATCTTGATAGAGTTATTTCACCGGGCATGTCTGCAAATCAATAACTATCCTCTTGAATAATAGGGAAAATGTATCAACTTTATATAGTGTGTATCTAAAAGTCTATGAGAGATTGATATGAGGAAAAATTGGTTTGAGTAGAGGAGAGGATTTGAGTTATTCATTGTGTGTATGGAATGACCTTCCATTTGTGCCGAAGGGTTAGGGTCGGTATATAGGTGGAGGCCCTGTCCCTTCAAAAATAAAATATTTTTTAAAAGACAATTGATTCTGACGCAAACACATAAGGAGATAAACCCAGAGAACTCAACCTACTGAAACAATAAAAACCAATAACGCCTCCATTGAGGCTCAAACTCACAACCTTTCAAATGAAAATCCAACCCAGGTACCATTAGACCACATAGTATTGGTCCAGAGAATAATTTATATCACTATCAATTCAATAAATAAACTTAAATTTTAAACTTGGGTCTTTCACTAAGAGTTTTTACCCATTTTGGTCCCTTGACTATGACTCATTCTCAATTTTGCATTTCGACTTTTAATTGCACCCAATGTGGTCCCTTGACTTTTAAAAATTATCCCAAATTAGTCCTCCGTTAGGTTTTGCGTCAACTGACTGTTAAATGTGGGGTTATTTCAGTCAATTCACACTAAATGACTATTCTAGGGCTTTGTGGGCGACTTTTCTGATCAACGGCTACTCTGAGCATCGGATTCCACTACTCCATTCCATCGGCGCTACATACTCTGCCGTCACAAACTCTGTCTCTGCCGTGATTATTCTCTGGAGCAACCCCTCCACTTCAAGCCAAACCCTAGCTAAGCTCTCGTAAAACCTCACATCTATCCGGATCGCCTCAATCTCAGTGATTTGGCAACCATCTACGAGCTTCAACCTCCGGTTCTACCTGCATAAATTGATCTTGACCCGCGCCGTCCTCGTCTACGACGAAGATGTCGACCCCAATATCGAGTCCATCAACTTCGCCTTCAACGTCTGGAAATCCAATCCGGATCGCCTGATTGGGTTCTTCACCCGGGCCAACGGCGGTCACCGCGCTAAGGAGATAGCGAGAGATGGCAGTCGCGACTGGGTCTGAGATTCCTGAGAGGGTTCGAAGCAGCGGCTGTCACGGCGGGGGAACCAATCCATACCAATCTTTATGAGCTTCTTTATAATTCCATCAATTTTGTCTGTTTGATGTCTTTTCTTTATGAGCTTCTTTATAATTTCATCAATTTTTCCTGTTTGATGTCTTTTCTTTCTGAGCTTCTTTATAATTTCATCAATTTTGCCTTTTTCTTTCTAAGCTTCTTTATAATTTCATCAATTTTGCCATTTTTCTTTATGAGATTCTTTATAATTTCATCAATTTTGCCTTTTTTCTTTCTGAGATTCTTTATAATTTCATCAATTTTGCCTTTTTCTTTCTGAGATTCTTTATAATTTCATCAATTTTGCCTTTTTCTTTCTGAGCTTCTTTATAATTTCATCAATTTTGCCTGTTCTGATGTCTTTTTTATGATGGCAGTGACGGAGGTAGAGGTCACGGTAGTTGCGGCGGTGGATGTGGTTGGTGAGGCTATGGTGGATGTCGGAGATCTTCAGTTTTTCCAGTGAGGTGATCGTCGGTGGCGGTTGGATTACTTCGGTGGCGATGAAATTGGGAAAATTCCACAATAACATTAATATTGGGGTGAATTGACTGAAATACCCCCACATTTAACCGTCAGTTGACGCAAAACCTAACGGAGGACCAAATTGGAATAATTTTAAAAAGTCAAGGGACCACATTGGGTGCAATTGAAAGTCGAAATGCAAAATTGAGAATGAGCTATAGTCAAGGGACCAAAATGGGTAAAAACTCTTTCACTAATTACTTATTTACTTTTAATTTTTACTTTATTAATTTCCCAATATGCAGATCCTCTTCGGCCCAAAGAGGAGCAAAGAATAGAGGGAATGTAACTTTAACTGATGTGCCGAATGGGCTATCAAGTGTTGCCATCCCAATGGGCCGTAAGGGAGCCCAAAAGTAAAACAACCCTATAGCAATAGTTATGCCATGGATTCACATTGCAATGTGAACTAGGTCAACATACACAATTTATATATTGAATATTTACAAATTAAATTGTGAACATTCAGTATATAAATTGTGAACATTTAGTATATAAAATTGTGAACATTCAATATGTAAATTGTGAATATTTAGTATATAAAAATTATGAACATTCAGTATATAAATTGTAAAATTTTGAATTCGGATGTAAGGTGGATCCGAGTCTACAAAATAATTTGCCATTCTCTTAAGTATTAAATAATGTTTTATAATATGAATAGCAACATAATCTCCAATAATTAGTTATCTTAAAATAGATGATTTGTTTAATTAACGGTAAATTTTTCTTCGAATCTTACTCCCTGAATTTTACTTTCTGATATGGCGAGTTCTGATAATATCTTTTTGGAAAATTATATAAGTACTCCAAGGGAGTAAAATTACTCTATATTTTTTTTATGTGGGTCCCAATATAAGTATCTACATCAAGATTTTGTATGTGTGAGTAAAAGTTGGGAGTGGAAAATGGAAGTATACATATCATTTTCCTTTTTCTCCTCAAACTCATAAGTCATAACGTGTTACCTCGCATTGAATGGATGGGTGAGTAGGGAACACAATTTTTGTATCTAAATATCACAAATTCGATTATTATCAACATTCTCTTAGTCAAATCAGTCACACAAAGTTTTCATAATGCAATTCACCTCTCATGTGTAATTTGAGAGTGATTACACATTAATGTATGAGGTAATCGCATAAGGTTTTCTTAATGTAATTTACCTATCATATAATTTATGAATTATTAGTTATTACATATGAGCGATGTATGTCTTTGAATAATATAATCACTGTAGATTTTCTTTGTCATTAAAATTTTTTTTTCCTGCACATTAATATCCTTTAATTATTGATTACGATTCTATTTTTGTATGATTTTAGTCCCTTTTAAACAATGATTAGTGATTATTATTGTTATTCATCAATTAATTTTTTTCTAAAATTAAAATGATTGCATATATTGTGCAAAGTTTTCTATTATCACCAGGCATTATAATGTTGATTTGGTGTAAGTTGTATATGTTAAGAAGAGATTTCAATAATGAATAATTGTCAACAATTAGGTAAAACAATACATTAACTAACATTTCAATATTGCACTTACGAACAATTTTGTCAACTCGTGAGATCATATTTTTTTTTTCCCGATATCCTCATCATTAAAAGACTAATATTGATTTAACTCAAGATATCCCATAGAATTTAATTTTTATCCAAAAAATATAATCTAGAATTCTTTAACATAACGCATAATTCATAAAATTTGTGAGACCATGATTTGATTATTATAAAGTTTATCCCACATTACATTATCTTTGATTTTATGAAAATTTAGACCATGCTATAAAGTTATTGTGCCCATTATTTCAGATAAAAAGAGATAGCGATATTTTTTTTATATAGTTTTATTTATCAAAAATCGTAATTGTCATTTTCTTCTTTTAAAATGTTGAATCCTCAACTCCAAAGGCCCTCTACATTCCAGTCCGACAGAGTATTTGAGAGGATGTAAATTACTTTGAGCATAATGTTAGTGTCCATTATCGTGCGGACATAACTATCATTTTTTATATATATTAGTAAAGTTACTGTATCGAGATGGAAAAAATGACCATTTTATTGTTGAATTTAACTAAAAGAAATTTCAATACTTGTTCAATTTATAATGAACGGGATAATTGTTACTATTATTTGTTTTTTCTCATTCACGTATTTTAATTATTTTTTTCATATCTGTGGGTAATTTAAAAAACATTTTTAGAAAAATAAAATATAAGGAAAAAAAAAAATTGTATTTTCTTGATTTGGGAAGCTTCAATGCTTCATTCATCACTACCCTTGCCTGATATACTAGCCCACCCCAGTGTCTGTTTCTTTTGACCGTACTTCGTATAGCGGTTAGACTTGTATCCAATTCGCCATCGCGATCTAGACTCGTTTCATTTCTGCTTCTTCTCCGCTAACCTCCGCCACGGATCCCTTACGCCGCCGCTCTCAGTCGCCGTCGCCGCCGCTGCAATTTCCTTCTTCGCTACCACTACATTGCGCGCGACGAGACGCCTTGCGGTGGTTTCGTTCGGAGCTCAGATCTGGCTTAGTGGTGCAAGGTAAGATACGGTAGAGTAGTCGGAATAGGAATAGGGAATGGCTTCTCCGGAAGCCGATTCCCGGCTCGGCCAAGTCGTAATCCCTGCGCTTGAGAAGATCATTAAGAATGGCTCGTGGCGCAAGCACTCGAAGCTCGCTCACGAGTGCAAATCAGTTATCGAATTCCTTACTGCCTCCACCCCTATCCCTGCCTCTCCTACTTCCCCGTCCAATCAATCCGATCCTGACGCGCCCCCCGGCGTCCTGCTCGAGCTCTCCTTCGCGGATTCCGAGCTCATCCTCAGTCCGCTCATCAACGCGACTGCCTCCGGTCACCTCAAGATCGTTGAGCCGGCTCTCGACGCCGTCCAGAAACTCATCGCACATGGCTACCTCCGCGGAGAGGC